TCAAAAATTATATTACCAGTAAGTGGGTAAATAAATATTTATTACCCGAAGAGAAACTCTATGCGGGAATTCTTGACAAATTGAACTGCCAAATGATCAGTTCACAGATTCTTGCTGAATCAAAGGTCTGCGTAATGAATATATTTTGATTCGACCCTGTAAATATTATCCAATCGCAAAATATTCATAAAATTATATCAAATATATCAACTTGCAAAAAGACCATATACATAATGTCTTCGCAAATTAAAATGTTAAATGATTAGTTCACAGCTTCTCGATAGAAAAACAATATTCAATGTGAAAATATAACATATGCAATCCTTTAATATTGCGCTTTTTGACAGGAACCAATGTATGCAGAGCTCCAGAAACAGATACCAAGAATATCACAAAAAAAACACTGACATTTCAAACCTGGGCTGCCAATAAATGAATGGCAGGAATTGCGTATCATGGCGTTTATGCATCTGAACGGCAAAATGCGTTAAAACAAACCACAGTATATCCCAAGTTTTGCAGTCGCGAAACATTTTCAATCGATAGCTTCTGTTTGTGAGATGAGCGAGCATGCTCAAGAACCTGCGCTAAATGACCAGATCACAGCTTTTCTCGCTGAAATAAAACAGACACCGCATGTCAAAAAATTATATAATAACATATTGCAAACCATCTACTAATAAGTCTCCCAACAGAACTGACGTGTGCAAAGCTCCAGAAACAGACTACAAGAATATTATTTGACAAACCGCGTTGATTCTGAAAGTATTCTGTTTTTAAATGTACACAATACTACATTTTGGGCGCAATGTCACATACGCATTCAGAATAAGGGGACTCATCTGTGAGCAAAGTTATCACGATGACTGAGGCACCAGGATATTCGCAGAAGACGCATATCATATCCGTCATATATCCCAAAACATATACATATTGTCTTTGCAAATGATCAGTTCTCACAGTTTCTTTTCGAAAGAAAAACAATATTCAATGTGAAAATATAAGACATGCGTGATCTTATATTATTGCGTTTATTGACAGGAACCAATGTATGCAGAACTCCAGAAACACATAACAAGGATATCAATTGGAACGCCACAGGAATACACGGACGTTTTGAACATGTGCTGTCAATAAATGAATGGCATGAGTCGCGTATCATGGCGTTTATGTACCTGAACGGCGAAATGCGTTAAACAAACCACAGTCTATCGCAAGTTTTGCAGTCACGAAACATTTCCAATCGATAGCTTCTGTTTGTAAGGTGAGCGAGCATGCTCAAGAACCTGCGCTAAAATGACCAGATCACAGCTTTTCTCGCTAAAATAAAACAGACACCGATCGTCAAAAAAATTATATAACAACATATTGCACACCATCTACTGATGAGCCAGCCTCCCCAGCAGAACTGACGCGTGCAGAGCTCCAGAAACAGACTACAAGAATATAATTTGACTAACTAAAACCGTGTTGATTTTGAAAGCATACTGTTATTAAATGTACACGTAATACGTTTTAGGCGAATATGCCCAAAGCTAATTTACACACACACTCAGAATAAGGGGACTCATCTGTGAGCAAAGTTACCACGACGACTGAGGCACCGAGATATTCGCAGAAGTCGCATATCGTATACGCCTATTGCAGAACTTCAGTTTCCATTGAACCAATTTCCATTGGTTTCATGAATGGACTTGAATAAAATGACGACTATGAAATGACAAAGGCTACACGCTACAAGATGTCACCACTACCAATTAAAGAGTAGCCTACTATTAATGGCAAACTTCTAATATTTACATACCTGGTCAATACCATGTTATCAAAACAGATTTTCACATCTATAACCTGATGCTGCATCAGCTATTTTACATTACACTCGGAAGAGTGTAATAATAATATAAATCACGACACGCCTGGATATCGTAGTTAGTCTTCATCGAACATATGAGCAACACTACCAGTAAATTACCACAATTACAGTAAATGTAGAGTACCAATATATACAGGTTACCGTTAAGTATAATAACAAAGTTATCCTGGACAATGACAGACAGCGCGTTACGCAAACAAATGTGGAGTAATCAAGAAAATGGCAGTCTTGTGAAGCGGAAAAACTGTAAACAAACGATAAATCCCCTCCATTTGATACAATTTGCCCTGCATGCCATATGTAGCCAAAAGGCCATATCTGAAACGACGAATAATGTTTATAATTGAGAAAACTGAAGTGTGGGTAGGCCGCCAAAAACCATAAAAAAAACTTACTAAAACGCGCAAAACTAGTTTCGTCAGTCAGTGCAGGTACGAACGCAGATTCAAGTCATTACTCATTAGTCACTAGTCACAGTTATTCATGTTGAGATAATTGAAACATATTAGTGTGGTTGTTGTAACTTAAGAATCATGAAATTTATCATCTACCATCTCTTGTATGATTTTATTTCCTTCGAGAGGACACGCTTACGGTAACGAAGCTCTCACAAATAAAACAAAAAATTGCATATAGTATATCTACATTAGTTGACTTGTTTTGCTGGCAACCAAACCAACTATACTCACGCACTGATCGAAACGCTGACTGCTTTTTGGAATATTCATGTGTATTATAACCCATTTAAACTGTGGTGCTAAATGTTGTAACGATATAAACCGCCTGTCGTTGCTAGGCAACGACGAACCTAATACGGAATAGACTACGACGCGAGACGTACGGTATTTTATGATCGTTTGGGCACATGTCAACTTCGTATCAGCCGACCCCGGAAGGTATTAATCGGTGGAAAACTAAAGCTGTACTCGAGAAGATGAGCCTTAATGCGCCGACACTCAATTTGCCAGGCTGTTTAGCAATATTTTTCTCGTCACGTTTAGAATTATTATTAAGATGATTATGGCGAGAAAAATTTGAAACTAATTGGACTAAGCGTTGTAATTCCGCAAAAATAGAAAGAAGCCTACCAGTACATCCATGTTTTGTCAGAAGTCTAAGCCAATGTGAAAGATCAGAGACTGTGAAAATATTTGAAAAATAGAATCATACCGTAGTCTTAGAGACGCCATAGATTCTGGTTGGATATCAAAAACTTCACATGAGTTAGACTGGATTAAGACTCGTCTCCCATTAGTTGGTCAGATGCCACGAGGCACTTTACAAAAACGTCGTGGTATATTGCTTTTTGACCTTGTATTTCAATAGCCTTGTGAGCCGTGTCAACTTGCGTTTTTATTATAAATAATATAAAGTTGATATTATAGCAACTTTGGAAATGGTAGATGAGGAATTGGGCAAGAGGAGACAGGTGGTGATTTTGAGGGCATATTTGCGATACTTACAATATCCGTCCCAGCTCCTCAATGAGGAGTTTATACAAAGCTCCAGGTTTTCAAAAGACAGTGTACTCATTTTATGGGATATAATAAAGAATGACACAGAAATTGATGTTCGCAAGCATGCCCTTCCATCATTGCTTCAACTTCTCACTGCGTTACGTTTTTTCGCCTGCGGTCATTCTCAGATGACTGATGAGGCTATCGACTGGACACATGTGTCAATTCGGTAACCAGAGGGCGAAGACGCTGAGTTATTTCCAAACCGAGAAGCTGTTTTTCTATAAAGGTTCAGGATACATGTGATACTAACTAAGTCATTACTAACATCGTAGAAAGATGGCCTGGATCGACACATGACATGATTTTTGCAGACAGCAATATTCATGACAAACTTGAGGAAAATGAGATTAATGGATATTTATTGTGGAATAATGGCTACCCTTGCAATTATATTTGTTCACTCCTCTTCTAAATCCTGCGAGTGGCAAAGAAAATCGATACAAGGCCCGCATCCATACCAGAGCGAGAATTGAGCAGTGCTTTGGTATTCTGAAACAACGATTCAGAGTACTACAATAATATAAAATGACGACGGGACTGGCCACCGTGCCGCAAAGAGATTTTATTTTTGAAGTTATTCCACGTGATGTCCAATAGACAGATCAGTTCGCAAAACCTGTATTACCGTGGTGATTATCATTATAAATGAGAACTTGACATGTTTAGAAAATAAAATTTAAGGAATATTTTCCCTCAATCAGCATTGAAACATTTGTATGGATTTGCAATACTTCCCTAGATTTATAGGTCACAAATCTTTCAAATTTTCATTTACGTGAAAAGGAAGAATTAGCAAGTTTTTCCAGTGATCGTGGACTCAAACTGAAGTACGCACAACTGCCATTAGACGCAGTTCAGATCTTTGTTATGGAAGAGTATCCAACTTTTTAAAAAACACATCAAAGTCTTACTACAAATAGGAATAAAAATCGTGAAGGACTTAAAAACACGGAAAAGAGTATGTCTCTCTCTCCTTCGTCCACAAATTGCAGCAGTAGTGAAGAAGCACCATGCACAACAGTAAACTAGCATTCACCATTATTATTCTATACCTGTATGTTTTATTTACATGAACCATTACCCTTATCTGATCTTCTTTGTTTTTTATTATTTTATAGCAAAATGGCTTTATGAATAGAAAATGTTCATGTTTTGTGATAGGTGTACCGTGAATATTTGAAGAGCTCAATAGTGTGCCGCGATATAAAAAAGAGTGGGAACCACTTCTCCAGCCATTATCATAGCAGCTTGTTTGCATAATTTTGCCGTGAAGACAAACCAACACTTGGACCAAAATGTTCCTGTAGAATAGATGCAAGTGAGAAAGAACACAGACCAAAGTCATCAATTACAGTCAACTCAATCAGTACGTACAAACGTTATTGGCCAATATTGTCAATCACCCTCGAAAAGTAATATATTTCATTAAGTGCATGATAATAAGTGTGTTTCCAAGACAGGGTCAGACTAGGACCCAGTGCGTGCACTAGCCCACGAAATTGCGACCTGTTTCCATGCAGTCGAGAATCGAGATTCCGAAGTCGGGGTGCATTTTGGGTAAAACTACACGCTTGGATAGGGAATCAGTATTATAGCTGTCTTTGGATTCCGCCCTTTCGCTATTCATTCATTTTTTTGGAACTGACAGCGTGAAGAGCATATTAGCTTTCTTATACGCGGTGTTGGTGTTGTGGCTGCACACCAGGAGAATGAGGCGGATGAAGTCATTGCTGGCCTAAACCAATTGGGGAAGAGAAAGAATGCCAAGGAGAATATGAATGGAATACTGGTATATTTTCAATTATATTTACGGCTGTACTAAACAAACTTGGTTGATAAATTATGGTATACTCTTGGGTAACATATAGGCTATGTAGCATTTATTTCGGCCGTGTTTCACGTATTACCATACAGTAAGTTTCAGCAGTACCATAATACTACATACAGATATAAGCTAATTTTGACAATATGCTTTTCAGACCGGATGATTGGTGGCGAACCGTGATGAACAACTACAACGACGAAGATTGGATCGCTAACTTTAGGATCAGAAGAGATACATTTCATATGTTAGCCACATTATTGCGTGACGAATTGGAACCGCGTAAATGATTTATTGAATTCACTGTCAATTTATTGAATGATCTTATGTTAATGATGCAAACTACATAATTGCGATCACAGTTTTATGTTGACACTACGACTTTGTTTGTTCATGTCAATCGCATTTCATGTTTTTTGTTATTGTTGTCTTCTGTTGTGTGTGCAATCAATGTTATATTCGTTGTGTTTTATATTGCACAGAGACATCAGTGTCAAGATGCCAGGTAGTTTCCCATGATGCCACAGTCTTGAGAGCTTCCGGGCTGCACAAAAACTCTAAAATGCTTCCTTCGGTAAGACAGGCTAAGCATTTCAAACTCTAGAATTCTGTTGATTTAGACTAAATATTGTATTTTGGCGCAGGGTGATATCACCATCAGTGGATCTCCAGTTTCATTCTGTATAGTCGGTGATAGTGCATATCCCTCATTGCCATGGCTGCTACTTCCATTTTCTGGCGCTTCTCTACACCCAAGCAAGAGAGGTAAAATGAACATCATAGCAAGGTAATCACAGGTACTCTTATGTGTTCAAACACACCAGTTGAAATTAACTAAGCATAAGCTATTTTTGCAGGTACATGTGACAGTCGAAAACTGCTTTGGCCGCCTGAAGCAGATGGCGAATTCTTCAGCGGCTCGACGTAAAGATCACCGATGTACTAAAGATAATAGCAGCATGTTGTGTAATGCACAACATCTGTGAAACAGAGCAATCGCCAGTGCCGAGAAACTCCCTAAATGAAGCACCACAACTACCGACCAATTGGGATTAGAGATGAAGGTGCTACAAATGCCAAGGGGTCATAGCGAACTAGATTTTTGAACTGTATGGTCATTCATGTGTGACCAATTTTTTTTCTGTTCACCCGTTATAATAGTTAAAATTTATGATGCATAATTATTTCAATTTTTCTAATATTTTATTGGTCAAATCACAAATGCCGGGATGTCTTTTTCACATTCTTCGCAAAATACTTGTAAAATAGCTTCCGTTCTGGAACCTGAAATTTATCAAATTGGACATTACTAATAGCAAAGATGTGGAATCCGCCAGTAATTCACATATATCGCAGTTTACCTAACAATAATATTCTCTGCTACCCCGCCTCCTTCTCGCTCTCTGGTTTGTAGTTGGAGTGACTGGTGTGGAGTTGCTTAGTCTTTCATAACCTGAAGACAAAGCATATTGCAATAATATAAGTTATAACAATGCATTGCTTCAAAAGGAAATTTGGTTTGGGGACGATAATAATAAAAGTTATAAATGACTATTCGACGAGCCTTGCCGCCTCGCCAACTGAGTCTAGCAAAAGACTGCTCTCGGGATCGTCGACTAAAAATAATGTATTCAGTTAAAAAAGTGTTGCCATCAACCGTTTTTCAACCAATTTATCGCATGATATTTTGTACTGACCTATCTCAGCCACAAATTGTGTTACAGTCGATTCAAAACTGGAGCCATGATCAATTGGTGGCTCGCTGGTGTCTACACCAATCATGGACAAAGCCTGAAATTATGTTTACTAATTGCAATCAATAAAATGACATGAAACGAAAAAAAGAACAAAACATGAGAATAAAATTATGGCACTTGCAAGCTTCAAAATCTTTTTTTTTTGGCAAATCAAATTTGGCCGCTTCCACTCATTCTTCACACAACTCCATTGAAGCAATATAAAAAAATCTTAATTCTCGTCTGTTTTTATTTTCCTACATTTTCATTCTAGTAAATATTAAAATAACTGTGCTGTTTTTCTATGTTAGTTTACTGACAGACTGAGATGTTTAGATTTTGAGTTACCGTATCGGTAATACTGTAAAAGATTTAGCTTTTCAGTAACTGTAGCAAGTAAACATAACACTGAATTAGTTGACAAACACCTACCTTCACGGGACGTTGTTCTCTCTGTGCCAAAAGCAGTCTGCGATGTACAGCATTTTTTGGCTTTACTTCTACAGGAACTTATTACAGCACTCGATTTTATGAAATTAGAGTACGAAAACACGCGTATGAATTACCAAAAACGTTTAGGATGATGCGGCAAATTATTTTACGATTCCAAGCAGATTGGAGGGAATTTCACTCTAATAGTGTTATATTTTTCGATCAGTTTCCAACCACATTAAGGCACTTTTATACTGCCCCATTGTTATTTCAGATTTCTGGGTTTTTATTTCAAGTCTGAATGATTTTGTTTTCTCAACAGCGAGAAACTAATAAAATGTAAAGTAGCACCCAGTTCTCGTATAATTCCTAAAACAGTCTGCTGATGCATTTCCGAAAAAGACGAGACGTTGCGAGAAATGAACATCAATTGCATTGTTATGTCATAAACGATGTTAGAGCCAATGAATAGCTGAATAACAGCACACATCGGTGCAGACATGCGTCCAAGAATAGGGGTTTTAAAAATTACCATATCGGTTCGGAAATTATCAGTTTGAATGTGAGCGATCACAGCCCTGATTGCCCAACGGTACATTATAATAGTTTAGGTATTGCTAGATTAATTTAAGGTCGGCTGTGTAAATTTTTATCACTGATATTTTAGCATTTTTTTAAAATTCTATTCGTGCCTTTGCGGGTCACGAATAAAACGCGGTGGGTCACAAAGCAGGTCAGTGGTTCGCCATCCCTGCTATATATCTATCTAAACTCAATCTGAGCACTCAATTTTACCTTTCATAACCGGTACTGCAATACTTGCTCATCAACTTCAGAGTCACAACTGCAACGTTTCAGATGATGTACGAACCACCATTTAAGGCTTAATTTTGCAGATGTAAGGTCAGTCTACTAATGAACATAAAGTTCACAGAGACATCGTACAAACGAAATATCTAAAAAATGTAGTGTATGGTTTATGGGTATAAAGCACTGGCTTTTACCTCTGTAAGAAATTTTGATTGATTGCCATGCAATCTCAAATCAACAAACTCTCAGTCAACTTTTCAAGCTGATCAATCTGAATAGCAGTGTCTAAAAGCAGGATCAACTCCATTTTACCATGTAGCTATCAACTAACTATACCTGGCATAAAATGCTACATACAACTTACAAAGCATATGTCTGAAACAGAGGAATGACCTCTCTGCCTAAATTGCTAATAAGTGTAATAAATACCCACATGTTTCCATTGCAATGGACTTAGGAATGAAGATAAACGATTTTTAAAGAACCAAACTATGTTGTATGGTTAAGCCGTCTTATCCAGTTTCCTCTCCCCAAGGATAAATATGTAAATCCTATCCTATAAATGTTATCTGGCATAACAAGATGTGACGAAATATAGTCTTATAATTGATTTGTGAAACAATCAAAAGATGTTAATGAGTAATGACTGCAAAATACCGGTACAACTAAATTCGATACATACCTGCTGAAAAGATAAATCTGTTACAGCGTATCGGTATCTCAGAATCTAAACACATCAGTCTGTCAGTAAACTGGACCAACAGAGAAAAAACAGCACATTTAAAAAAGTAATATTTTTGTATTTACTGCACAACGATACTGTTCGGTACCCTCAATCCTGCAATCAATCATTTATTTTTGCTCCTCTGCCCAAAACATGACGTGACTACAATTAACACAAAAATATCTCGAGCCGTATCCCCTCCAACATGGGCCGTGACACTGAAGACTCACCACCCTTGTCTGCCTGTAGTAAAAGTTTGTACCGTATTGGTCGGTACCTACCTGTATTTGCAACACGGCTCACACAGTCACGCAAAAATCTGGGGCGAAAATTCTGTATATTTATACACCTAACTAGACACGGCTTATATCACTAAGGGGCCGCGGCGCATTACCATGATGGGCCGCGGCGCATTACCATGATGGGCATCGGCCCATAGCTTATGGGCCGTAGAAGAGTCACCACTTCCACCTCCTGTCTGCCTTAAATGTCGTTTGCGCTGAGCGTTGTCTTGCTCCGCTTTATTTTTGATATTTTCCCACGCATCCTTTCAATTATTCTCTGTTCTGCGGCACGAGCTGCCAAATTGCATTAAATTTGGCTTCGATTTTGTTACAAGTCGTTTTCTTTTGCTAAACTGACACTTTGTCCGTTCTTTTCGACTCCACTTCAGGATGTTCACTTATTAGCTGAACAGGAAGCTGATTTTAAAGATACACAAAATTTGCACTGAAAGTTATCTTCTGTATATTGATAACCCATTTGAAACCATAATTCAAGAAAACAAAAAGAACCTTAGAATGTTAACAGCCATATGGGTGATCTGCTAATGGCACCGATACATGAGTCATCCATCCTGCAAAGACGAGTTTGTTACGGTAATCAACTTCTCCATTACCGGTGCCGTACCCATATATCACTTATATGAAGTCAGTATTGGTCTTTTTTCCGGCATTATATTAGCGTATCTAATAAATACCGGTACTCATCAATGCAAGCCGTACGATAGCTGTCACAGTTAAACCACCTCCAGACAATGTTTGAAAAAACGCTCATTTCAAGTAAGATTTAGGCCACAGAAAATTAAATCACCATTTCGATCCAGAATTAAACCGCGGATTCAGAGTTAAACTTCAGAGTGATCTCCACCCTTATTATATTCATTTTTTGTTTTGTCCGATAAGAATACCAATATTCCGATAAAGATAAGAAAAACAAATTACCAATAAGAACATGATAAAGAAACGATCTGTATGTACACTTTGTGACCAATGAAAAAACAAGATGGCCTTTAACCACCAGTCATCAGTCTTTCTGGTATTTAAATTTGTATTTTTCTTGTGATTTTGCCTCTTTTGTCTGTGATGATAAACTCAAAAAACTCATTGCATGACATATGAAAGTTAAATTTTATCATCCGTTCAGCTTTGACGTGATTAAAGTTTAGTTTGTTTCTGCTGTTAGCCCAAAGCGCATTCATAATAAGTAACACTCTTTCACAATTCGCGTTTGACGTAGCAGTTGTGTATCGTCCGGCTGCTGAGTGGCAATGAACTTCACCCATCTGTTTGAAACGTCACCAGTTAAACGTAAAAGTTTACTGCGTACCTTTCTCAGTGCGCACTGTTCTTCACACACTTTATCGCAATCGAGACTTATGCCCAAGCGTTCAACAAGCCTGACCATTCCTTCAATGTGATTTTGAAGAGCAAGTGCGCACTCTCATTAAGACGCACACGCTCGTAAAAACGTTCCAGTGACTTCCCATCGTCCGAATACAAATCGGCAGCCCTTTTCGCCCAGTATTGTTTTTGTATTGTTAGACCATGAGAGGCCCTAGGCTATTCCATTTGTTAGACCCCTTCATATTTTTGAGCTCAGAATATCTTTCTAAACATCACATGTCATTTCTTAATGTTAAAAATATGAGCGCATTAAACTCTTCGTTCTTTCCATTCTCCCATTCATGGGTGCAAAATTTTATTTAAAACTATAAAAATCAACTACCGATACTGCTTTTTGCAGAGTAGACTACGGTACTTTAACATAGAAGCTTCCAGC